GGCATGTAACCGAGTGCTGGATGTAATTTATTTGGGGGTATGGGTTCCCATTTGTGGCCAAGCAATGTATTAATTTCCTTTAAAAAAAAATGTAAATATATAATTTATTGCTTATAAAATAGAAATATAGGTTTACATCTATGAACGAGTCCATGCTTGCTTCTGTTGGAGTTTGGTCAATCATTGAAATTTCTAGGCGCTTAAGGGATTTGCCGCGCAGACGTGACATGCCAACGATATTATGAGGATCWATTACATAGCCATGTATTACGATTTCCTCCAAATTTTTGCAACGCCAAGCCATCATAACGAAGGGATCTTGACCAGATCGTATAAACAAGTCCATCACATTTTTATTGGAATGTTTGTATGCCTATTTTTTTAAATATATTTTTTCAAAATAAATTTATTATTTTTATTAATTTCTTACTGAATCTATCCACTGTATACTCTTAAGGGTGCTGCTATTATTGATAGACATCCAATCTAAGGCCTCTGCGTTCATCTAAAAAAATATATGAACTTGGTTTATGTTWTGTTTACATATAAAAAACAATTTGTAACTATCATTATCTTACAATGTCACAAAATAGCACGCGCAAATGTGTTATAGGCATACTACGACGCAGTATGCGTACTTGCAGCACTTCAACCGCTTCAAATGCATATACCAATGACACAATTAAGTCGATATTAGGAAAAGCAGCTCCGAATCGAGCCCAAGATTTATTGGATATACCAGGATGTTGACGATTTACATTGTGAACACAGACTAAGAGCTTTTTCAATGGAAGTATTTCCATGGCATGCAATAGATTCTCGTTTAAACAGTCGTAGTCAAGCGATAAAGCCTAAAAAATAAATAGATAAGACGATTTCAATATTGTATAAATAATTTACATAATTTCTCTAAAAAAAAGTCACCTGCAGTGAAGAACATTTTTGTAACAACGAAGGCTCAATGGTAGGTATGGCATAATTACAGGAGTCGAACTTAATTGAAGCCAGAGTTAACTGGAGCAATGCGTCGGGTTTGCCTAAGGATTTTAGTATTTCAAAGCCATAGTAGGTTAAAGCTTCAATCGCACCTAAGTCCARTATTTTACAAGGATAATTTTTACGATTTAAAAACATTTTCAGAGGCTCTATGAAACATTGTTCAATATCGATAAGTTTTTCCTTATTTTTAATACCAGGGGCGATAATGCCCATATTACTTGTGGAGAAATGTAGACCTCGCAGATTATTACAACGTGCGATCCTGTAAATATATATAAAGAAAAGATTCGCTAGAGAAATAATATCATCGATCGAACATCGATTTTATATTGGTACGCACCTGTATAAGATTTTTCTTACTTTCTCGATATGAAAAACATTCATAAAGTCAAAATTAATGGTAACTTCAGTTGCCAAATTACAAAGGGTTTGCCGAAAAAACGTGTATTGCCGTTCATTGTTTATTTGTAATGTGAACTTAAAGTTGTTAAAAAATCTGAAAATGCATTTACGAGTGTAGAAAATTAGTCTGAAAAAAGTATTATTTATGAAATGGTATAATAGAAAAAACTTTTACGAATAAGCTTTAAMTATAGTACATATGTACAATAAAGTGTATATGATTGCATATCTACTAATTAAGTTGTAGGTAGGGTAACTTGTCTCTTTTTTTGTCAACTTTGTAAACAAGTTTTACAAATATTTGATATCTATCTTTTGCTTATATTTGCGATACACACCTCTTTTGGAAAAGCACCCCACGCCAGAGACGGCACGTTTGTGACGCGTTTAATCGATCTTGTGGTTCCAGGTAGTTATATATTTTACCCAACACGACAAAGGGTAACTGATCCCATGCTGGTAAGACACAGCGGTTCATGACTAGGATCAAACTCAGCACTAATTGAGTGTATTGCAGTCTCACTTTTTGCCTTTAAGTGCGTAGCTGTCGCTTTAATTTCTACACGTCTGTTTTCRCAACTCCAACTACAACGAAAAAGGGGTTCAATATTTCTTCACATCTGCCAACTAACTACCGTTGATTGAAAATTATTTTATTAAACGTTATTTTTCTATGCAACGGATTTAAATTGTTTTTTGTTGTTTGTTTTATATTTTCAATCGTTTTGTATTTTTTTTTGCAAAAYGACACACAAATAACGACGCAAAAATGAATTGCTCAAAAATTGAAAACTAAAAATTTTGATAATCAATAAATATTTCGAGTTTCAATCTTCTTTTACTTCATTTGAATTGTATTCAATTGAAGAAAGTTAGCTTACCGTTTGTATTTCAACCTTTTTCGCCTTTCAAAATTTTTCTTTATTAAATTTGTGCTGCTGAAACGACTTTCCTAATGCRTCTTTTGCGAAATACCTTTTTATTTTTCTGCATTAGATTTGCTTATGAGCTATTTTTCATTTTACATCAACTCATATTCAACAAAATAAACACAATATTGCCAGGCTATTTATAAAATAATGCTTTGTCTACACCATGATTCAAATATATGGTAGAAGGTTATGTATATATTGAGCGTGCTTCCTCTTACAAAAAAAATGTTTGTATTCATAACGCGAAATTTGTTTTTCTTATCAATTTTCTAATTCGTCAAAATTCTTAATTACAATCTATTTATATTCAGTTGTCACTCAAAAAACGCAATTTCAATGGTTGAAATCTTTGAAACAATTATTTTGAATCATTTCGATATTATGAATGTAAGTACTTTTGATACATTTTGGTGTTTAGGCTATGGACTACACCTGGTATAATTGAATAATGGTCTACACACAGGAAAAATATTTGAACGATTATACTTACCATTTGAAAAGAACCTTTACATTTTGCCTCCATCTACAAATGGTGTTATTAGAAATGCCGCATCTCCTTGGGGCAATGTTCTTTCTAGCAATATGTCAAATAAATTGCCATTGAGGTTGGCAATGTTCTTTTGTAGGCATTTGATATCAATAATTAGTCATTCAATATATGTAGATCATTGATATAGCGAATGCTTTGAGCTCTTGGACTGTTTAAAATATTTATGAGGATCGTAAAATGTTTTTGGAAAATAAAAAAGTGTGGAAATATATTTTTTCTACAAAGGTATATCCGGAAATAAAAATKTATTATTTTAGAACTTAAAATATTTGTTTCATAATGATTATTTGCACAAATATTACACAATCCACATTTTTAGCAATCTTAAATTGTCTGTTAAGTGACCCTGTAAGGGTCTATCTATAATGCGAATGGAGAGTGCACTTTGCTAATGTTTAGCAATTGATATCAAAATATATTTCATGCTATCCATTGCTGRCAATATACTGTTAATTTGATTGTTAGGCAGCGCGATTTTCATTTCAACGCGTACGTGCCTATCGTTGCCAACGTCAATGGCGTTGTATTGGACGGATTGCTAGCAATAAACATTGTTTGTTGAGATGACCCTTTAAGGTTCCTAGAGTGTCAATTTAATTTATTTAAGATAATTTTTAATAGTGATATACTTTATATTTATTTTACAATGACATCATATAAATTAGTTTTTGCCGTAATCCTCTGACTTGTATACGAAAATATATAAAATTCTGCGATAATTTGAAATTATTCAGTCTAAAGGTACATTCACAATTAAGCAACGTTTTCTAATACTTTTTTCATTGACATCTGTTGCCCCATCCTATCAGCTGTTTTATGTTTTGATTCTATTTTCGTTTATTATAGTATAATTGTAAATTCGATTGCTTAGTTATAATAAAATATGTTACCGTTTAGAATTTTGCAAAGAAAAATAAAACCATGTCTTCGCCACAGCCGTCAATATTCTATATGTACATTATCGTATCTTGGATCAAGCAGTAGTTATTCAAAAAAATTGCTCAGGGACACAAGTAGCATTTCACCAAGAACATTTTTGGTGCTGCTACAACACCGCAGTCTATCGGAAGTTACAAGTCCGCCTAGTATGGCTGCGACACAAGTGCATTCACCGTTCACAGGAATTTGGCATACACTTTCACAAAGTACACCAGTAGCATATATACAGGATACATTGACAACGATACATGATTACAGCGGATTGACCTGGTGGTCTTCCATTGTTGTATCCACAATACTATTTCGCACCGTAATAACACTTCCATTGGCAATATATCAACATAAAATTATGGCACGATTAGAGCTGTTGGCTTTGGAAATGCCACCAATTGTGGCCGGACTAAAAAAAGAGGCGGCAGTAGCCATGAAAAAATTCAATTGGACTGAGAAACAAACCAGACTTGTTTATAATCGGTCGGTGCGTAAGTTAAAGAGCATGCATGAATTTATAATTTGAATTACATGTTTTCAGTTAAAAAAACAGTGGAATGCATTGATAGTGCGAGACAATTGTCATCCAGCAAAAACATTTATCGTGTTATGGGGCCAAATACCGTTATGGATATGTCAATCCGTGGCATTAAGAAATCTTGTTCATATGATGCCTGATCCAACAACATTACAGGCACAAATTATTTATACAGAGATGACTATCGGAGGTTTTGGTTGGATACCTAATTTAACAGAAGTCGACAGCTCATATATTTTGCCCATCACGTTAGGTGTAATAAATTTGGCCATAATAGAAGTAAGTGATTTTATTGCTTCATACGTATAAAAGTCTTGAAAGTGAAATTTTATTTCAGATGCAAACTGTTCTACGAAACCGTCCCACTACCCGCTTGCAAAAATATGCGACTAATGTTTTTCGAGTATTGACCTTAGTAATGGTTCCTGTGGCCTGTTCTGTACCATCGGTAAAATATTGCGATTTCGGAATTTAATTTAAATATCGACTGTGCTAATTCTATTTCAGGCTCTTTGCCTATACTGGGTTGCTTCAAGTAGTTATAGTTTAGCGCAAAACCTGCTGCTTACTGCACCTGTTGTACGWCGTTCAGTTGGTATTCCACTTACAAATTCAGAAATAACGAATCCGTATGAAAGAATATGGCTAAGGATGAAAGAAGTAACATCAAAAAGCGAACCAAAAGCTGTGGAAAAAAGTACAAATGTAACACAAAATGATTCTAAGTCGAAATAGATTTATTTGGTTAGCAAAAGGSACAATTTCCGCAGTGTTGGTTTTACTTTTAAATTAAATTCTTTATGATTATATGTGTAAGTAAAAAATTATTGGACGATGTAAAACAAGTCCTAGATTGTGAGTTTCATGAAAATAAAGATCATAAAAGGTACAAATCTTGAAAATAACTTTAGTGCATTTGAATTATATCAAGAAGTATGCACACATACATACAAATGTACGCTAATAAATATTTGAAAAGGTCTAAGGAGAAATAAATGCAAAGGTAGTAAATTCTTTTAAATGATAACATATGATTGCTTATTTGTGTTGTTTATTATTTTTGCTTYTTCGCAGTGGTGAAAATATATGTTATTCGTTTGTTAGTTAATTAAATATAAGTTAATTAAGAAATATTCGCCTGTTACATATAAATATATTATACTGCTATAACACTCAAACAAACCTAAGCAGATGTATAAATAATTGATACATACTAGTATCTTGTTATTGGAAAAATTAAAGAAGCGACTTATTTAGCTCTACGCATTTACATAAATCCTGTTGTTGTTGTTGTTGTAACGGCAGAGTTCTGCTCAATAAATCCTCAATGTCTCTGATAAGAACACTTATGTATGTACATTCGTATGTATAGCAGAAAGGTCTAGAGATTGCTACTGGCGATAATCGACGSTGATTAGTTGAAGTCAAAACATTGTAGCTTATACAAAAAGTTTTTGTTATTTGTCTATATAAAAAAATTTTTTTGTTACATGTCGCATATAAAATGAGCAAAATTCCCAACTGCTTATAATTCTTTATAGGCAGAAGAGCATCATGCTTTTATGCGCTCCTGCCTTGCGATCCCGAACRCATAATTATATGCACACTCACACATTCATTCAAAATATATTCTTCTATTCTTACATACATACATTCATAACGCTCATTCTCTACGAATCCATTGGTCATCCAGATGATTCAAAATTTGCTCTCATTTCGCTGGCGCAGTCTTAATTGTCTCTACCACGATATACTGGCAGCGGAAGCTTAATTGAAATTGAAACCGTTTGTTTGCTTTTAAARCGCAAATACTGTCGGCTGGGAAAACACGAACTTAATTGCCAAGAAGGACATGGGAATTTTCGTGTTTTTGTTTAGAAAAATATTGTGCGATTTTACCAAAAGTTACTTTCAAAATGTACTATACAAATATATTATATGTAGGCATATGATATAAATATATACGTGGTTCTGTACTGTGTCAATTTATTTTAATTAATAAAGGACTAGTGGGGCTACTTTTTGCGTGCAAGTGCCCTTAACGATACTTATGTAAGTGTCTTTGGAAATAATTAGAAAAAATCGTGCATTAATTCAGTTTCTTATCGAAAAGAAGTGCGAAATATTTGTGAAAAATTTCTGAAATAATATGAAGCAGTGTTCATAAGAGAAAAAATACTAAATTTGGAAGAGAAAATCTTTATGATTGAAGTGAAAATGATATCGAAGCTGTGGATTCTTATTTGCGCGACTCACATCGTTATCATTAAGGGTGTAAGTACTTGTTTTTATGTACATCCATATCGGTATTAAAAATGCAAAACAACGTATGATCAAAGAAATCGAGTTTTCAATTGATTAGGATCCACCATAATATATTACATACATATGTATATCTACAAAATTTTAAGTCTGAATATAGAAGTAATTTTTGGTTTGCTTTCCTTTTCTTTAAATAAATATGTGCTGAAAATAATCGCAGATAACAAAAAATTAAACATTAATTTCTTCAAATATATACTTGTATATATGTATGTATGTATGAACATTTGGGTTTAAGAAGTGTACATAAAATTCGTTTACTTGTAATGCTTATAGGTATATCTAAATGCGAATATATATGCAAGAGCCGCGTCTTTCTCTGCAGAAGATTCGATAGGAACTGATACTTATAGAATCTATGTTTTTTAAAAAGTACTATTTAAGATTGGATTGAGCGTTGACATCTATTATATTGACTTTTAGGCGCATCCGATATAAATTGCATAAATTTGTCTGTGTTGCCTGTACAAGGTTAGATTTGGGTCAAGTGAAATCTCTTATCACCATTCTAGACGATTTGATTTCGTGCGWTCAGTGTCTACACCAAACAGTGCATTTGGTGAATGCAAAGCGGCTTGTAACAGAACGGCAGTTCTATTGCCTTTATAGATATATGTGAAAATTAGACTAATTACTATTAAATCTGTTGCTAAATTTACGCAAGTTTTGTTACTTTAAGCGAGCCTTAATGTATGCTTTGATTTGCTTTGATTTTTGCCCCTAAGTAGCTTGCTATGGATGTGTCTACATGTGTAGATATGTATATATTATTCCTTCCTTTGGAATGCTTATGTCGTCTGAGCTCTTTTATCATGCTGTGCATATGATGAGTAAGAAAAACGATTAGCGTGGGAGTTTCATGGGCCGAGAGATTAAGTTTTTTTTCAAATGCCTACTCAGCCCATAGCGTTTGCACGAAATAATATCGGTTTTGGATTCTAAGTATTTGAGTCATGGCAAGCGGAAGAGATCTGCGGTGTTGTTAATTCTTTGCCGGCATGATTCAATTGGTTTTCCTTTACTGAAACAGTAGTGCGCCGCACTATTTTATTCTCTAACTAAATATGTAAGTGGGCTAAAAAAATATTTTAAATATTTTATTGTATTGTATTTTTTTATAATAGTTAAATGCGATTTTTAGCTATGTTTCAGTATCTGTGCTCTGAAAGTCATGGTACATCATCAATTACTGGCGAAACCATTGATTTATTTTTACATATTGTATTTCATTATCTAACTATTTCTAATTTTGTAAAAAAATATTAAATTACATTTTACAGACCTACGACCCAGCTCTTAATGGTATAAAGACAAGAAACTACCATAGAACTTATCCAAATGCTGAGCAAGAGCCATATCCCAATGCGCAGTCGTATGAACCCAGACCCACTTCCAACAACAATTACGGTGCCGGTTCAGTGAGGTTATCACTAGCTAATTCATACCAACACTATGATGGGCCTCGCACCGAACAACAGCCCTCACATAGTCACCAACAACAACAGCATGGTCAGCAGCAACATCAAAAACAAACCGCACAACAAACGGCCTCTTATCAGCAACGCGAATTACCGCTATTTAATCGCAATGCACACGTGCGTCACTCAACGCCAACACAGCGCTCGGAGCGCAGAGAGAGCGTTTTAAGYAGCGGCGTAGAGAGCACAATACCAGACTTTGGCACTGGTTGTCCGCCACAGCATACAGGGCCGGTGCCGTATGCTTATGATTGCCGGCGTTTTGTCAACTGCTGGCATGGACGCGGTCACATACAGAGCTGTGGTCCCGGTACGGTCTTCAATCCTGAAACTCTTGAATGCGACCGACCTGACAAAGTTGTTTGTGGTGGTGCGCTTACAAATGGTGAGCGTAGAGAGCAGCAAGCAACTTTGCACAGCGCACAACAGCAAAACAAATATCGCGCTGGGCGCTTAATAGACGCAAGCACAGATARCGTGAGATCTCTTTGCCCCAACGGCTTCAGTGGATTGGTGCCACATCCAAATGATTGCACGAAATTCTTGAATTGCGCTAATGGCAATACCCACGTACAGAACTGCGGTCCCGGTACTGCGTTTAGCGCTTCGAAGAAGGTGTGCGATTTTAAAGAAAAGGTTGATTGCGGTGACCGCGAGAATTCGGCTTATGGAGCAGTGAACAATCGTGATAGCCGCCAGTATGGTATGTATTTGCAGGCTTTCGAGTTTTATATTCAATATACTATAATTAATACACAAAGAAAGTATACTCTTGTAGTACAATCTGTTAAGTTCAGGGATTTTAACTCGCGCATAAAAACTACTTGCCTATCACACTTTTCACCGAAAGACATTATGAGGTTAACGATATTTCATTTCTTCTTTAAATGCTGTTTTTTAGGTTCTTCTGTGGCATACTTGCACTTTCTCTTAGACTTAGACTTGAACAGAACATACAGTAAACAATTAAATGAGATTTGGTAACAGCTTTTAAAATGACTTAGGGTTGTCTTTAAGGCTACAAGTCCTCAAGCGCAACTAACTTTTTCGAAATATTGTTTCAAGTTGAGATATTTGCCTCTTCAGTCTGTATAATATATACCATCTGAGCGAATAAGACCTGGACTGACAAACAAAAAAAAAAAAAAACACATTTTCACATGTTTTAATACAAATATTTGTTATCGCTTCCAACAAAGTTCCATTTGAGTCAATTGTTAAGGATTAATCTAGTTTTCCATACACTTGTCATAAGCTTCGGTTGGGTYGGTCTTTGGTGCCTTCAGCTAATTTTAGTTTTTTCGGTTTGTGTTCATTTTTGGCCTCGTCACAAGTAGTGATGCGTTTCATGAATAACTTTTTCGATTTAATAGACAGATGACTCGCTTTATGGTTTATGCCACTCAAATACAAAGAGCTGCCAAACACACACTAACTGGTAAGAACGGGTCAATCAAAAGCTCTGGTGGTATATTCACATCACTTTTAATGAAATATATAATGTCCTCTTTCGAGATAAAATGATACATTTTAGGTGTATGTGTAGGTAGGTTAAGGGTATTTACAAGTAAGTTCAAAAAAATAATTTAAGAATATGCAGATGAATTGTTTTGTCCTTCGGGCGCGAGTGGCTTATACTCGCATCCTTACGATTGCACTCGGTTCCTCAATTGTGCACACGGTCAGATGGTGGTACAATCCTGTGGACCTGGTACAGCATTTGATCGAGTAAAGTCTGTATGCGACTACGTGCAAAATGTTGACTGTACAACAACGATTAAAGCCAAATGTGAGTTTAAATGAATGGTGCTCGCTTATCCATCGTTGCAACTGAACGCATTATGCTGCTCCATTACTAACAACAAAAACAAAAGCAGATATATGTATAAACATGCATGCCATCAAAAACAATTTCCATATGAGTCACTTAAATATTTTCTTTTAAAGAAATGAAACAATCATTGCTTATCACTCACTTATGCGGCGGCTTTTGCTTCCTCTTATAAATAAAATATTTACATATTTAACATACTTATTACTTAATATTCATGAAATACAATCCTTGCCTTGCCTTTTAAGCCAATTCAAACTATGTGGACACAATTGCTAAGCAGAACGCGTTGGGAAGARTTGAGGAAAAAGAAGGTGATATATTCTGTCCACCCGGCGTGTCTGGACACTTTCCATATCCCTTTGATTACACCAAATTCATAAATTGTAAAAATGGCAACACGGCGATACAAAACTGTGTGCCGAACACTGCGTACAGCATTTCCAGGAATTACTGTGAATCCAAGGAGAATGTGCCGCGCACAGATCACGTCGCTTACATAGTGTCCGAAGTACGTTATGAATATTGTAAGTGCGCAGTAGAAGCTCTGCTATACGAATTTTCTGCTTAAACTCACAATTCTGGTAATTCCAACAGCTCTGAGGATTGTCAGTTGTCCACCTTCGACTGATGGCCTACATTTATACCCTTATGATTTCACTAAATACGTAAGCTGTCAACAAGAGCACATGAACATCGTCGCGTGTGCACCGAAATATGTATTTAGTATATCTCGCAGAGGATGTCTGCCCGAAACTCAAGTGAATATCGCCGATCACGTACGAAATGCTTGGGAGCTTCGACACAACGCCGAATCAACTGAATGTAAGTTTGGAGTAATGAAAATTATCACTTTCTTTAAAAAGCACGTCCAATTCGACTTTAGCCAGGAATTCAGCACTAAGTTATATGAATGAGTTGCTTGAATGCCCTCAAGGCCACTCTAGCCTCTATCCATACCCCTTTGATAGCAAGAAATATCTGCAATGCCTTGACGGTAGGCTTTCTATAGAGACTTGCAATTCGGGCTATGTTTTCAGTTTGTCTTCAAAACACTGTGATCCAAAAGATTTAGTTGGCAAGGCTGAACAGGTCCCACTATCGTTTGATGTTGGCCAGATTAGTATATCTCAATCGGATTACGATTACTGTGAGTAGTTTAACTAATTGGGTATATGTGTTTGTATGCATGATTCCTGGATCATTGCTCTTTAAACTATATTGTAATGAGAACAATAAAATTGCTAGACCTATACCTTTTCCAAAGTAGTTGTCGAGACCTAGTTGTAAACCTGTAGACAGAGCAATTCAACAAATCTTTCTTATGTATTCTACAAATTAATTAGTTTTTTAACTTAAAATATAGGTTAGGTTTTAATAGTACAATTGACAATTTCAGAAATTTCTCTCGCAAAAGTATTACGGTTTTCCCTGCAATGTTCTGGAAAATTTAGATTAAATATTCATAGTTTTTTCTGCAGAAGTATCTTTAGGTCAATGACTTCAATAACTAGAATGAGACGTACCTTACTAATCCSCAGACCTATAGGAGATGATAGTGTTGATGACTGATGACCGATAAGATTGGCTGGTATGAAATAAAACCGGTTAGTGAGTGAGAATGTAGGAAAAGAGAGTTACCCTTAATATCTTGTACTAATATCATTAAGCCGGGTTCATGTTTACAAACACATATATTCAGGTAATACATTGCTAAAGATTCCACTTATACATGCTCTTTCGCAAACAGTTAATAATAATCTAGGAGGCATACAATTGCTTTGTCCGCAACATGTTAGAGGCTTCTTTTTATATCCCTTCGATTGCACTAAATACTTGTATTGTCGTGATGGTCGAGGGCAAATAGAGAACTGCATTTCTGATAAAGTCTTCAGTATATCGGCTAGGGAATGTATAAATCGTAATCTGGTTGAGGCATATGATCGTGTGGAATATTTCAGTGAGGTTCCTAATGAATTTTCAACAGAACTGGAGGCTACCAAAAGTGAGTTCACAAATTTTTTGGGGAAATCAAGAGAAATAAAAATATCTTGAACTTTTTAGATCAATTGTATGTGCCAAACTGTTCTTTGGGTGCTGACGGACTTTTTCCATATCCTAATGATAATTCGAAGTATATAAAATGTGTAAATGGGCGAGCAACCGTTGAGAATTGCATAAGTGGAATGATTTTCAGTAAAGCCAGAAAGTACTGCGACTATGGGCGGAAAGTTTACGAATATGATAAAGACCACTGGGTTCAAGGCACCACACATGTTATAAGGGAGGGTAAAAGTAAGTTTGTTTCTTTCTTTGAAGTGTCGTCCAAATATTCAAAGCAAACATTTTATTAGCTGTAGACGAGAACGTGGGCGTGCAAATGGCATGTCCACCAAATTCGGTGGGAATGTATCCGCATCCACAAGATTGCAGAAAATTCCTTTCGTGTGCCAATGGTATAGTTGCTATCAAAGACTGTGGTCTAGGTGCTGCGTGGAGTGTTGAGATGGAAGTGTGTGATTTTGAGAAAAATGTAAATTGCACGGGACGCACGAAGCTACATAAAACYGCAAAGAGTACATTTACAGAGGACAAGGTGGCATGTCCATCTAATGAAAATGGTTTATTCTTACAGCCATTTAATGCTTATCAATATATTGAGTGCAGAAATGGCGAAACTAACTTACAAAGCTGTCCACCGGGAAGTGTGTTCAGTATTTCAAAGAGATTATGTATCTCCGAAGATCAGGTCAATACCTGGGATCATGTAATGTGCGTTCAAGAGTATATGACGGATATAAGTGAGTACCTCTACAGAACACAAATATCACAGTTGAGCTAAAGCTTGTTGAACTTACAGCCCTGCACTATAATTACGTCGTCTGTCCGGCACATGCACTTGGTAACTTCGTTTATCCTTTTGATGGCTTACTATTTATTGAATGCAAGGCCGGTCATACAAACATACAGAGCTGTGCACCGAATACGGTCTTCAGCGTATCAAATAAGATTTGTATACCCTCTACTGAAGCAAGAGACACCGATCACTTGTGGTTAAGTTCAGTTGGTCAGGTTGCCGATAATAGTTTTGGCGCCTACGATCACAACCGTGAGTGGGGGACTACAGATATGACAGGTGCTGGTACTCACACCCTCAGGCTTGAACATACCGTYCAAACAGCAGCATGTCCATCGGGCGCTTCAGGTCTTTACCYTCATCCAAYGGACTGCACGAAATATTTGCGATGTGCCAACGGCATCACTTATGTAATGGATTGTGGTCCGGGTACAGCTTTTAATGCTGCGCTSGAAGTGTGTGATTTTAAAGACAAAGTTGACTGTTCGTATAATTTGGACTTTAATAATGTGGCTTTGGGCCATGACAGAGGTGAAATTTGATCTATGAAAGACTCCTTCGCTATGTAGTGTAACGYTTTTCGAAAACCTCATACAGGTCCCAGCATTCACGCCATTACATGTCCTGAGGGAGCCACTGGTATATATCCCCATCCTTTGGATTGCAGAAAGTTTCTTAATTGCGATAATGGTATAACTAATATACAAGATTGCGGCCCCGGTACTGCCTGGAATGCAAAACTGGAAACTTGCGACTTTATAGAGARTGTCAATTGTTCAGATAGTAAGTGTCACGAGCAAGGTTCCTCAAAACGTTTGAAAATATTATTATAATGTCAATGTGGTATAATTAATTTGGAAGAAAACTATTTGCAATTGAAAAATAAAGAAAGAARTTTGTTGTTTTTGGACTTATTGCCCTAATTTTTTCTAAATCTGTTAGAATTTTTAACCCTTTACTTAATAAGCACCGATTTTGAAAAATAGTTTTGGAAACAAAAATAGTTTTAATCTACAACCACTCATACTAAAAAGCGAAATTATTTCGTTTCAGCTCACACCGTTCATGGGAATAATCCTAACGCAAACTATCAGCCCCAGTTAATACAATCGAATTATCGGGACTCAACTCAAAACGGCTGGAGGCAGCAACACCATGAGCATGGTAGTTCTTCGCAAAGAACTGCTAACGATAGACAAGCTTATGGTAACGGTGTGCAGCGTCCTATAGCTAGTGACATAACTTATGGTGGTGCATATAGTCGTGATCGACAACAACGTCTACCTACGCATGGCAGAGAATTACAACAGCATGGTAGTTCAAATAATTGGATCGCTTCCGGCTCTGCAATTGATCGACAAACACCCACACAAAGCGTCATCTATGAAGAAGGCTCGCTGCAACCAAATCGTAATTATAAAACTTTCAGCACATATACAACTCCTCTAGCACCTTTCAAACCTGAGTTCGTACCCGCTACATCACTTAATAGTAATACATTTTCAAATGAGACAACAAACATTTACTATGCACAACCTGTTGGGTCTGAAGAAAACACCGAGGAAGTATTTGACGATTCCAGTAYAAATACACAATCTTCAAACCGTTTGCCATTTAATAAAAATGAATTTAATGTTGCGCAAACTTCGAACAAATGGATTCCAATACCTAATCAAGAGATTTTACCTCCGAAGCGCACTACTGAGCAGCAAACTGAAGCACAAGATTTCCCACCACAAAATATCTTTACTCCAGCATCTTATATTACACCTCCAAACGGACATGCTCATAGTTCTACGGTGGACAGTTCGTCATCTGTACCGCAAAACAATTTTGACTCTTCTAATCTCTACGGCGGCTTGCAACCACCACCGCCACCGTCGCTAGCTCCTACTATCCCTCAAAGTCCTTTGTCGCATGTTTCAAATCCTATTCATAAGTTGGAGCCATCAAATCCAACCAAAGGTGGCCCTTTGGGTAGATCCGTAGACGAAATCGAACCTATAAGAGCTTTCAGCACGAATGCTCAGGGAAAACCGCATTTGCTTTCTCCTCCTTCAAGCATGAATGCTTATAAAACTGACATTGCCATGAGTACACCTGCGACTTACCTTCAGCCGCCTGCATTGCCCACACCTGCAGSTGCAACTGCAACTAGATCATATTCGACGACTTCGACTCGTTTAAAGCCTGTTTATAACGTGCTAGAGAATACAACAATAGCAATGTTCCCTAAAGATCCCCACTATAGTGGTTCATATTCAAATGTTGCTCATGCAAGTCCACCAAAGTCCGTCGATTTTGAAGATGTACAGGCTTCTGAAGATTTACTTATGGCTGATGCCTTGCGTCTACTTTTGCGTCCTTATTTTAATCGTAGCGGCACTATTTCGGAAGAAAATACCGATAATGTCGAGGGTCACATAATGAAACTCTCACCCAAACTTACTTCACACACATCCGTCATAACTTCATCAACAGATAAAACTATCAAAAACTCGCCAGTTGGTGCGGAAAATGAAAAGGAGGTTGAACTTATACTTGCAGGTGAACAACATAGTTTGACCACAGTCCCAAACCAAAATAGCACTCACGAAACACGTACTGAATTTTATTCGAAAAATACAAGACAAGAGTCGAAGACTAATTCCAATTGGCACAATCATGGACATAGTCGCGAATTTCAYCGTAAGCATCCAAATTTACTTGACCCCTTTAATGAGGACGACCACACAAGTACTCATACACTTCATCGACACAATCATAATAGGGCGTATCACCAGAGACACCCCGAAATACCAAATCCGTTTATAACACCCGAAGCACCTCTGACCACCACCAATTTTGAGTTKAGTAATAATAATCTCCCAAACCCACAAGCAGAGAATACGACTCCATTCAGTGTGACACCCAGGATAGATGTGAGGGCAGAAGATTTTAACTGTCAGTTTGATTGTGGAAATGGCAATTGTGTAAAGTCTCATGAGGCGAGTATCAGTAAATCCATCTACATAATTTCGTTATGGATAAATAATATTTTCCCTTAGGTTTGTAACGGTATTAATAATTGTGGTAATCGAAAGGATGAAGAGGATTGCAAACATTTGGGTTACGAAGTGCGTCTGACTGGTGGCGAAAGTTCAAACATGGGGCGTATTGAGGTTAGRGGTAAGTATTCCTTGCAAATAACAATTTACGTACTTTAGATGTTACGACAATGACTAAACACCTCGACCACATTCAAATGTTTGGAACTCTTATTCTAAGACGACTGATTTTTGATACAGTTTTGTATAAATTTCTTATCTTGTTATATYTGTTCGGCAGTTCGTTGCTAAAGTTTTGAACTATGCAACTTTTAAAAAAATATATGTAGTTTCGAAAGGAAAATCGTGGATCTTTATTAAAAAACGTTGGAGAGTAAAAAAAATAGATTCAAGATAAACTTGAATGCTGTCTTAGGTTCTGCTTAGTTTTAAACCGGTTCTGCTTAAGCAAATAGAACAGAATTAACATAAGCTCCTTATCATATTTTCAATTATTCATTTCGCATATTACGTTACGTATTCTTTTACTTTTGGTAGTTCTTGGAAAATGGGGATACGTGTGTGATGACAAGTTTAGTCTAAGTGATGCTGAAGTGGTGTGTCGAGAATTGGGCTTCAAATTGGGAGCAAGCGAAGTGCGTGGTTTTTCATATTATCCACCAACAACGGTGGATGTATCATTTGCGATGGACGAAGTTGAATGTCGCGGCAATGAAACGTCCCTAAAAGAATGCGACTTTAAAGGTTGGGGAGTTAGCAATTGTGGACCGGACGAAGTAGTCGGTGTAGTTTGTAAAGTGCCRCAACTTAAATGCCCCAACAACTATTGGCTGTGCAGTACCTCACAAGAGTGCATACCACCGGCATTCGTGTGCGACAATACGCCAGATTGTGCTGATAAATCTGATGAAAGTGAGACCGTTTGCAATGTACGAAATCAATTTGAACCACGCTTTATAAAACCTCTATGTTCTAATGTTAATTTGTATTGTGTTTGTTTTGCAGTCTCCCATAAAATATCGGCTGGAAGGTGGGCGTAGCCCGAATGAGGGACGGCTCGAAGTAAGATATCGTGGTGAGTGGGGTACTGTATGCGATGATGACTTCGGTTTGAAGGAGGCTCGAGTTATGTGYAATTCAATGGGTTTCTACGGAACACCGGTGTGAATAATATTTTATTGTTGTGTTCAATGAACGATGAATGAACTTTTTATTTTCCAGACTATTGTTAAGAACAAATATGAGCCTGGAAGCGGACCCATTTGGTTAGATCAGGTATCTTGTTATGGCAATGAGACCACACTCGACCAGTGTAGTCATTTTACATGGGGCGAACATAATTGCAATCACACTGAGGATGTTGGCTTAAAGTGTACACTGGATGCGCCGCCACAAAAGGAGATCTCGTCGCCACAGTTGAATGATTATGAAAACACTCAGAGAGAGTTGGATGACAGACAGCAACAGTTAGAAGATATTGGCTTGTACTCCGAACAATGGGAACGTAAGAGCAAGGTGGTGGGCGATCAAAGGCGTTGCGGCCAATTCAAAAACAATCTACTTGATGAGTTTGCGCATCCGGAGGAGCGTGTTGTGAATGGTAGCATTGCGAAGCGTGGTCATCATCCTTGGCAGGCCACGATACGCACACGAGGCAGAGGTGGCATATCGAGCCATTGGTGTGGCGCCGTACTAATTTCCTCTAGACATTTGTTAACTGCTGCACATTGTCTTGCTGGTTATCCAAAAGGCGCTTACCTTGTGCGCATGGGCGATCACTATGCGAACATAGCGGAATCTTCGGAAGTTGATTCGTTCATTGAGAACTGGTATGTACACGAGAAGTTTCGTGATGGCTCTCATATGAACAATGATATTGCCGTGATTGTGCTGAAGACGCCGGTGAGATTCAACGATTACATTCAACCGGTATGTCTGCCGAACAAGGGTGCGGCGCTGACAGAGAATCGTTTGTGTACAATATCCGGTTGGGGCTCTATAAAGTCTGGTGTTTCGAGTASGTTGCATTTTCAAAATAAGTGTAAAAAATATTAAAAACAATATTTAATTTTTCCTTCAAAAMCTCATATTTAGCACCCTCAAATATCCTTCGTGCCGCGGAACTGCCAATTTTGTCCGATGAAGTTTGTAAGCAAAAACATGTCTACGGCTCATCTCTCACAGAGGGTATGTTTTGCGCCGGCTATATGGACGAGAGCTCGGATGCCTGCGATGGTGACTCTGGAGGTCCGCTGATTTGTCACGATGAAGGCATGCAGTGCAATTGCATAATATATGAAATTTATTTAATCAAAACATTAAATTTTTACTCACTTCCAGATGGTGAAACATTGTATGGTATAATCTCATGGGGCCAACACTGTGGTTATGCAAATAAGCCGGGCGTTTATGTGCGTGTGGAGAAATACGTTGATTGGATATTGGAAAAAATCAATATTTCCATTCAAAATAAATTTCTATTGTAAAATAGGGAAATTTTAAATTTTTATATCGTTATATATACTTATTAGCTTAGAAATGCTTGAATTTATTTGTAAAATAAATGGAAATGTATAGTTATTCCAACATTTAACTATCTGTGTATTTTATTGAAGCAAATGTTAATACTTTGTTACTTACTGATCAAAGTGGGGTAAAATCATCGAAGTAACAGCCTTTGGCTAGACCAAATCCGGTCAAATTTCGGTTGAATAAATWGGCTGTTTGGGRAACAGGRAAGGTTGTTCTATTGAATCTTGTTSTGAAATTTGTAAGAACACAGGCTCCACAGAACAGCAAAAAATATTCCGAATCCAGACCGYGTTCATTTCGATCGTATGAGTTTCCCTTTTACATATAAATATTTATTTAAAAATTAAYGCCTTTAACCATTCCTCTAGTATAAATACAGAACCCCTGAAACCCGTAACTACAGAAAAGTGTTGCATCGTTAGTCCTTGGAACATCTAATCGTCATGACTCTTCATACAATATACTGAGCAAAGTAAAGAATACTCAAAAAGCTTGCAGCATTAATACTATGGCCAGATAATCTTGAAAGAAATTGAAAAAAAAAAATTAAATAAATTTGCAATTGAATAGCATACTCGTTCGAAAATATGCCTCAGCATGATTCATACCATAATTTTCAACAAATTGGACCATATGAGTAGAGCATTTACGGTCAACGCCATTTATAGCGGTATAAAGGGCAAACAGCAGGCCCCCTCGGCGAACTCACAGCATTAATTGATAAATTTCAATTCAGTGTAGGCGTTCAAGAATCCTCTCTTCGCTCACCATTTGCGGCGCTGCCAATTTACTATATTTGTATGCAGTTTTCATAACATTTCGACCCACTCAAACCAACCACACACACATAACAAAGTGTTACCTACATATATAGTTATACCATTCATGCTACGATCTGGTAATACGTATGTGTTCGTAGGTAAATATAATATAACTGCGAAAAGCGAATTGTGCTTCTAAACTGATCCATGCTTTCCGAAAGCGAGCTGTGAGAGCGTATGCACGTAGCGTTGTTGGAATGGAATAACAGTAGCTCCCATCCTCTTTATTAATGTCAATAGATAGTAAAATTAAGAAGTATGAGCATTGCAACAACAATGAATAGCAACAAATCGGCAATAATGTTGAGTGCTACTGGAGAAAATATCGCTTATCGCTTCTGATCTGCTTAATGGTGATGAGCCGTCCTCTCCAGTTGAAAACTGTGCTGCGAGCTTTGACGTTGTGCGCGCTGTGCTATGTTCGAATAACTAAAAAATATTACGTTAACAAAGTGCTGTCTCTTATACACATCTAGATGTGTATAAGAGACAGGCGAGCTTTGACGTTGTGCGCGCTGTGCTATGTTCGAATAACTAAAAAATATTACGTTAACAAAGTGTTAAAACTGAATTTATTTTTGAAAATATTTATATGAATTTTTTAAAATGCAGTTGCAAATTTTTATCCGTTTTCTTGTGTTTCAATTCAGCATACTTTGCTGTTTCGCCATAAACCAATATCAAAGCTACGATGAAGTGCCCTCAAGCACGGATCGAAATTTCTACACAAATTCACTATTGTGCATGGATATTAAGCCACAACACTCTGTGGATATAGGACAGGTGGGTCAATGAAAAGATAAATTTAAATAAATTGTTTAAGTTGTTATGTGTAACAAGGAACTCTGTAATGGAATTATAAATATTATATTCTACAAATTTTAAGCTTGTATGGCACCTCAACAACCCCTATTATATAGTTTCAAAGAATATGCTGATAGCTAACTAATCAATATTATTGCAATAATATCACCAAACATATTGCAATTCGCATTAAATAAAATTAGAAATGAAAGCATCCACATCTGATAACATCTACAGTRGCTCCCAGCCCAAATGGTACCATTTTACCTAAATAGGTTCTAAATATATATTCAAAATATTAAGCAGATTGAAAGCATTCATAACATTATTCCAACTCTTTATACTATATATAGTTTTACAAATCATTAAAAGGTTGCTTTGTTTGGATGTAAATTATTGCAAATTATTATAACTTAAATGCTAYTTACTATATTAGAACACWTATAAAGTAGAAAGTAAAGGGCTTACGAATTAAAATTTGTTGGGTCTTAAGTTTATTGTTCAATTTAGCGAAGTGATGTTATGTTACAACTTGACCTATCTTCATGAGTATAAACGTTTGTATTCAAAATTCATATACATATATATTGACGGTACACTATGTACATATTCCACCCTTGGTGATGGTACCAAATTCAAAAATTTTATTTTTTTCTCTTTTATTTTTTTTAGATATATATACAAATGTATATAGTTCCGTACAAATGTATATATATTACCAGTGCCCAAATAATTTTGCTCAGTACATTATTATTATTATTATTATTATTAGCTGTAAAATAGTTATACAATTATTATTTTACATTTTGATTGGAAAGAAGCACTAGCTACTGAGGCTTTCGGCTTACCTAATTCTTTACCTGTCTCTTATACACATCTAGATGTGTATAAGAGACCGATATACTGAGCAAAGTAAAGAATACTCAAAAAGCT